GTTTATTACAGCTAGCCAATATGTAAAGAAATATTACATATTCAAGGAACATCAGTTTCTGGGCTAATATTAAACTATTAAATTGCAGGTGAGGAAAATGTTTCTAGTAGTGTGTCATGTTTCAAGTGATCCAAGTTAAGTGTGGAGTCTGAGATCTTTATACCCTCAAGTCACATGCTCTTATGCAGGAATGATGTGATGAGCATAATTCTTAAAGGCATACTGACATACCAACTAGAAGACATAACACAACAATGACCACCAAACCTGTCCATCACATGGATGGTATGTCAGTAGATTGCTTGTGAAGCCCTCTTTGTAATTTGTACGATTTAAGTTAAAATAAACCAGAAACACAGCTTTCATTTAAAGTTTAGAGATAAGTTTATTAAAATAAGTTATGACTGAAGGTTCCTTATAGATATAGAAATAAAGGAATTGAAAATAAACTGCCGATACTAAGGTTAAAACAGTTACAGACAAGATACCATTGAGGCTCATTGCTTGAATTCTTTGTTGCTGAACTGAAGAGGTTAACATTATAAATGAGAATGAGGAGATCCGTGGGCTTCAATAATTCAATTGGTGGTACTTTTTCATACAAGTAGGTTTCTCATAACAGCAGATTTTGGTTGGGGGAGAGAAGACGAGAGAAGTTTCCTCATTCTTCACCAGCTTGTGGTTTTGACACTTTCTGGTTTACTTCCCTTCCCTGACTTGGATTTCTGTAAATCCTTTAGCTTTGTTCACTCTTTTTGGTCAGAGCTGCCTCCTCTGGTGGTGTTTCCCTCAGAGCCTTCTTCTTGAAGTTCTAAACCCTAAGAAAGCTATGCAGGTCTCATTCAAACTGATGAGTAATCCTTTCAAATATAAAGAGTAGATATGTCCACAGCTTAGGACTGGACTCATACATTGCCTGTTAGCAGAGGCAAGCAGCTTTGCAAATGATGTAGTTATTGATTTAAATGGTTTCCATTTTGATGTCAGTTCGTGCTGGTATCGCTGTTTTGCATCTTAGAAAGTACAATGTTACCCTGAGCTAGGTGCATTGTAATAGTCTCCCTTTTGTGACTTAAGAATGAGACATAGCTCAATAGGCTTTGAAATATTGCAGTGTGACAGATATGACTGTTGTAGCCTTTCACCTTGAAAAAGCTTTTAAGCTTAATTTCCAATGTACAAATCTTTTGAAACTGATATGGCCTTTTAATATGTTTTTCTTGGATGGCAGGTCTGTAACGCAGGTCCGACATGTCATCACAGCCTTCCATTGACCACTAAATGTATACACTATATTATTATTTGTTGTATGATTAAGAGGTGTGTGTGATTAACAGAAGTGCACAACATGGTAGCAACAGTAACTGAGATGTGTGAAGGTTTAACAGATATGTACAAGCCTCAAATATTTTCACAGGCAACAGTGGATTGACGCGAAGGCTAAACGTCAGTTTGGGGGGAGGTGGTGACATAATCGTAATGTCACTGGATAAGTAATTCAGAAGCCCAGGCTAAAGTACAAGGGACACGGGTTTGATCGTTAAAATTTGAGTTCAATAAAAGCTAGTCTAGTTGCAGCCATGTTGATTGTTCTAAAAATCCATCTGGTTTAATAATGCCTTTTACAGAAGGAAATCTGCCTGGTCTGGCCTACACCTGACTCCATTCCCATCAGGTCCTGGTTAGATTGTTGAAAACTGGGCGAACTTGACTATTTAAATCTATCCGTTACTAAGACTTGTGCAGGAGCACCTACCCATATAGCCATACCTAGAGGGCAGACAGTAGTGGCAGAGCTCCCCAAGCAGGAGAATCCATTGCTGCTGCAGGCTTTCCCTTCAGTTGGTTGGATGAGGACGATAAGCACTTTGGACTAGGCTAAAAAGAAAGATTCCGTCCAGTGGCAGCTCCCAAATGGTCCTAACAGTTTGTAGAAGACTGTAGGACCTCAAATTATTCAAATAATTTATTAACAACTTGTATAACAGCATAGAAAGTCAAATGTCCAAATTTACTGATAACAGTTTGAAGGCATTGTAGTTGATAGCATAAAATTACAAAGAGGTGTGGATAGAGTAGATAAATGAGCAAAACTGTGGCAGATAGATTTCAATGTAAACAAGTACGAGTTTATCCACTGAAACATATAGGATTCTTAAGATAACAAAGTGTAGAGCTGGATGAACACAGCAGGCCAAGCAGCATCAGAGGAGCAGGAAGGCTGACGTTTTGGGCCTAGACCCTTCTTAAGGGGCTTGACCAGCTGAATGCTGAGAGGATGTTTCCCCTCATGGGAACATCTATGTCTAGAGGGCACAGTCTCAGAATAAAGGGTGGGGGGAGGGTGCTAATTTAAAACTGAGATAAGGAGGAATTTCTTCTCTCAGAGGGTTGAGAGTCTTTGGAACTTGTTGCCACAGAGAGCTGAGGAGTCAGAATCTTTGTGTATATTTAAGGCTGAGAATAGACAGATTCTTGTTAAGTAGGGAAATCAAGGAATTACAGGGAAAAGACGGGAAAGTGGATGTGAGCAATGTCAGATTAGCCATAATCCTATTGAAGGGTGGAACAGGCTTGAGGGCTGAATGGTCTACTCCTGTTCCTATTTCTTATGGTCTTAGCCATCTCCATAAAAGCGTTTCAAAGAGACATTTTGGACCATCCAAAAGTTTACAGCATAGAACAAACCTAGGGTTAAAATAAAGTAGGGTCTATTTCTACATTAAAAAAGAGTGGCTTGCAACATATTCATACACATTTGCATCTATAAAAGGAAAAGAATAAGGAAAGGAGAGAAATTACAAATTACAGGTTGCTTAAAATCAAATATATTCTAATTAGTTCATGTGAATTAGAGTTCAGTAAGTTAATGTCCACTGGAGGTTTCTTCAATAGGTTCTGCACAGAAGTCCCTTTTGCAGGAGAGCAGATGAGATCAAGTTGCTCCTGAAGATACAGTTGTAAGTTACAAATTGGTTTACTTTGCAGCTGAAGTACAGGTTTCTTTCCATAAATCAGACTTTTGAGAGGGATTGAATTCAGAGGCAGGCATTAGCTAAGCTTGGTTAGAAACAAAAAAACCTCAGATGCTGGAATCCAAGGTAGAAAAACAGGAGGCTGGAAGAACACAGCAAGCCAGGCAGCATCTGGAGGAAAGGAGCAGTCAACATTTTAGGTATTACCCTTCTTCAGGACTGGATGTGGGGCAGGGGGAGCTGCGGATAAGGGGCGGAGTGGGGGGGAACAGTAGCAGAATGGTGGTGATAGGTGGACACCGGTAATAGGTATGACCTGGTTGGTCGATGGGAGGGATGAATCTGGTTGGTAGCTGGAACGGAAGGGAGGAGGCGGTAGGTGGAAAGGGAGCCAGGGAATGGGTAGGAAGGTTATTTGAAATTAGAGAACTCAACGTTAAGTCCCCTGGGCGGTAGAGTACCCAGGCAGAAGATAAGGTCTTGTTCCTCAAACTTGTGATCTGATTCACTGCGACACTGGAGGAGGCCGAGGATGGTCATGTCAGAGGGGGAGTGGGGCGAGGGAATTGAAATGGGCAGTGACCGGAGGTTAGGCTGGCCATTTTGGGTCAGGCGAAGATATTTGGTGAAACGGTCACCTAGTCTACATTTAGTCTCAACAATGTAGAGAAGACCACATCGGGAGCACCAGATGCAGTAGACTAGGTTAGAGGAGATGCAGGTGAAGCTCTGTCTCACCTGGAAGAACTGTTTAGGGCCCTGGATGCAGGTGAGGGAGGTGGTGCGTGGGCAGGTGTTGCATCTTTTATGCTTACAGGGGAAGGTACCGGACGGGTTGGAGTGGTTGGTGGGGAGTGTGGCGCGAACTAAGGAGTGGTGAAGGGAATGGTCCTTGTGGAAAGCAGAGAGGGATGGGGAGTGGAAGATGTTCTGGGGTTGGTGGGGTCCAATTGCAGAAGTGTTTGAGGATGATACGTTGGATGCGGAGGCTGGTGGGGTGGAAAGTGAGGACAAGGGGGATCTCTATCTATATGTTTGAGGGCGGAGTTTACAGCTGAGGAGCGAGGAATGGAGGAGGCATGGTGGAGGGCTGTCTGGATGACAGAGGAGAGGAAGGACGTTGTTTGAAATAGGAGGACATCTAGGATGCTTGGGAGTGGAACATCTTCTTGTCAGAGCAGATGAGATGGAGTTGGAGGAATTGGGAAAATGGGATGGAGGTTTGCAGGATACTGGGTGGGAGGAGGTGTGGTCCAGGTAGCTATGGGAGTCTGTGGGTTTATAGTAGATGTCGGTCCGTAAACTGTCACTGGATATGGAAATGGAGAGGTCAAGAAAGGGGAGGGTGGTGTCTGAGGTAGACCAAGTGAATTTGAGGGTGGGGTGCAAGTTGTTAGTGAAGTCGATGAACTGCTCCAGTTCAGCCTGAGACAGGAGCAGCACTCCAAAAGCTTGTGATTTCAAATAAACCTGTTGGACTATAACCTAGTGTCATGTGACTTCAGACTTTGTTCACACCAGTCCATCACCGGCACCTCTGTGTCATGGCTACCATAACAGAATGACCCTAGGTGTCAACTGTAAGCATTGGACCGAATACACCTGTAGAACCACTTCAAATGCACGTTCAAGTTCTAAGAGTGAAGTTAAGGAAGATGCCACACATAACACTCAAATGAAGATCGTTGTTAATCTGTACCCATGAATTAAGATAAAAGTTCTTTTTTCCTCTTAACTCTTTCATGGGATGTGGGCATTGCTGGCAATGCCATCATTTGTTGCTCATTCTAATTGCCCAAAGTGAAGTTAACAGTCAACCACATCGCTGTGGGTCTGCAATACATGTAGGCCAGATTGGGTAAGGATAACATATTTTCTTTCGTTAAGGGCACCAGTGAACCAGATGGATTTTTACAACAATTAGCAACGGTTTCATGATTTCCCAGATCAGGTCAAATCAGCAGAGCAATTGTTAATACATACTGTTATACATACTGTTCAAATTATTCAAATTATATACATATCTTATAATTTGTGGTTTTTTTATTTAGCGAAAAGAAGATATGATATTGTATTTAGAACATATATTTCAATATACTGACAAACATACCATTGAAAATGTAAATTGTTTGGTACACTTCATTGCATTAAATGGAAGAAGGTAACATGATACAGTAATCACAGCCGTGGTGATCAGTAAAAATGTGTATGAAGAGATCTCCTGGAATCTTATTATTCTTTGACAGACAACCCTTTGTTGGATTACCAATCATTATTATAATGTTCAGATGTTTGTATTAAGAGCAAATAACACACCAATATTCAGCACTTCTTCCTTTCTCATTGGGCTAGACATACAGTACTAACCAAGAAGTTTTCCTTTACATATTTGAGGAATTCTTCACATCACCTTGCCCTTGGCTCTATTTCCCACCCTTCTAGTTTTTATTAGTGTATTTTCTGCAAAGTCTGTATGGACCTGTGTTGTATTTGTCTTTTTTTTAACTTAGAGATAATTGATGAATAAAGTATAATTTTGAAATAAAAAGAATTGAAGCATGCTACTATTACTGACATACTTTGTCCGTAGATGTATGTCTTTATCTTTCTGAAGACTTGGAAGTGCTCAGTAAACAGCCAACTATTCATCCTATTCACCCTCAAGTATATTGTCCCTTTGTATAACTGTGACATTATCATTAAGATATACATGTTTGGTTAGGGGATGAATTGGCTCCACTACCTGAATTTTATCTGTTGCTTGCACATTTAGTAAGGACAGTTTCATATAGGGTGTCAGCTCACCCAGGCCCAGCTCAGTGTCCTCTGGGACCACAATGTATTTCAACTGGGTCTTTTTCACTGTATCTCCCGGGGTGTCTGACTCTACTTGACCCTCATTCCCCTGATTCATTGCACCCAAGGCTGGCTCCTGTTTCAGGCAGCAATCCTGTGAGGTCATGAGATGTGGGTTGAAGTCGGATTCTGTTGTGCCAGACATCTCATGAATTGAGACTGGGTGCCACCACTGTGTCTGTGCATTCAAGGGCAAGGCTGAAGACTGAAGGCTTTCAGGAAACATCAGGAAGGGGTCTACTGGGAAGTGAGTCCCAGCATCCACAGTGAAGTCACACGATGTGTTATGAACTTTATCCCATTCCCAATCTGGCATCATGTTGTTGCTTGACTTGAATGTAAGTTTATCAGAAGACATATAATCAGATGACTCAATTTCACCAGACTCCAGTTGTGGCTGAAACACCTCTGAGTTCTGTTGCTCTCCTGAGTTCCACCCGGTTTGTGCTGATTTGGTCCAGGGTGCAGAGACACAGTTGCTGAAAGATTTATAACCAATTTGATCAGAAGATTCAGTTGCTGTACTGTCAGCATCTGGGCATAGTGAGTAGGTGTTTAGTTTGAGTGGGGAGTCTCTGTCTTCATTTACAGCGAATGGGTGGTACTTGTCTTCCTCTTGGTCCTTTACGACACTTTTGAACAAGGAGTAATCAGGATCTTCAGAGGTGGAAAAAGGCAAATCCTCAAAGGGCAAAGAGAAAGGGGACAAGGAGTTTTTCAGGACTGGGAAATTGAAACCTGGAAATAGAGGGAAGGGGAATTTGTCATTGGAATTGGAGACCTCCATCAAGGGTTGAAAGACTGGGATGTTCACTGTGCAAAGCTTGTCATCAGTACTCTCGATCCTGTTCTTCCCTCCGAAACTAAATCAAGGAAAAATGTAAACATGTAAAATTTCTGATGCAAAACTGTATTTGAACATTCAACTATTTGATTAATTTTCTAAATTATGAAATATAGTCTTCCCCCTTACCTGGCAGGTACGGGAATGATTGTATAACTGTGAGCTCTCCAAACCTCTCGGACTAGGTATAGGAACTGAACTACTCACTGATCCAGCACCTCACTGAATCAGTGTCTGTACTTCGCCCAGTTTGACAGATCATTTTGTCAAAGTTATTGTTGAAGCCTTTTTTAAAATTCTTTCATGGGATGTGGATGTCACTGGCAAGGCTAACAACTATTGTACATTTCTAACTTCCCCCAAGAAAGTGACGAGCTATCTTCTTGATTCACAGAAGTCCATCTGGTATGGGTATTCCACAATGATATGAGCAAGAATTCCAGGAAGTTGAGTCAGTGCAAGTGAAGTGATAACACTATGTTTTCAAGTTAGGATGGTGCACGACTTGCAAGGGAAATTGCAGCGTATGGTTGTTCCTATGTGTCAGCTACTTCTACATGGTGCAGATCATGGATTTGGAAGGTGCTGTTGATGAAAACTTGGTGAGTAGCTACAGAACATTTGTATATAGAATCATACTGGTGTCGCTGCGCATCAGTGGTGGAGAGAATGAATTTTTAGGTAAGTGGATGGTTTGTCAATCTAGCAAACTGCTTTATCCTGGATGCTATTGAGCATCTGAGTGTTATTGTTGAAACAGCACCCTTCCAGGTAAAAGGAGAGAATTCCATCACACTCCTGACTTGTGCATTGCAGACGGTGCACAGGCTTTGGGGAGACAGGAAATGAGTTACTCACTGCAGGATTCCTAGCCTTTGACCTAACCTTTGTTGTAGCCGCAGTACTTATATCTGGTCAATGGTAATCCCCAGCATGTTGATAAATAAGGAACACGGTTATAGCCCTGACTGTCAAGGGGAAATGGTTACATTTACTGTTGTTGGAGAAGACCATTGCTTGTTCCATGAATATTACTTGCTCCTTATCAGCCTACGTTTGAGATTAGTACAAGTCTTGCAGCACATGGACACACATAGCTTCAGTATCCAATCAGCTGCAAATTTATTTATTTTTATTCATTAATGGGATTTGGGTATCGCTTGCTGGGCCAGCATTTATTGCCCTTCCCTAGTTTCCCTTGAGAAGACAGAGATGAGCTGCTTTCTTGAACTGCTGCAGGTCATTTGCTATAAGTAGACCCATAATGCCATTAGGAAGTTCCAGCATTTTGATCCAGGGACACTGAAGGAATGGTGATATATTTCCAGGGTAGCATGGTGAGTGGCTTGGAGGGGAACTGCAGGTGGTGGTGTTCCCATGTATCTGCTGCCCTTGTCCTTCTCAATGTTTGTGTTCATGGGTTTGGATGATTCTGAACTTTATTCTGAACTCGGCAAACTTCTGGCCTTATGATGCAAGAAAGGTATTGATGAAGTGGATGAAGGTGGTTGGGAGTAGGACAGTTCTGTGAGAAATTCTTGCATTGCTGTTGTGGGACTGAGATGAGTAGTCTTTAACAACCACAACCATCTTTATTTGTGCTTGATATGACTCCAACTAGTGGAGAATGTTTGCCCTGCTGCGTTGGTAAGGAATTCCAAATAAAGATTGATTTATGCTGCTGAACAAGGACTCAGATTCCTCTTTCAAATCCCTCTTCAACAGCCTGATTCACATTGACTTCAATTTTACCAAGACTGCTTGATATGAACAAGGAATAAGAGTAGGCCATTCAGCCCTTTAAGCCTGCTCCGCCATTCAATAAGATCATGGCTGATCTGATTTTAACTGCAACTCTACATTCCTACATATCCCCAAAAATCTTTGCTCCCCTTGGTAATCAAGAATCTATCTACCTCTATTTATTGATTGTAATTAAGTCAGCCAGGTGGACCTCATAGAATATTGAGTACCCTGATTTTTCAGTTATTAGGAGCCTAACATTCCCTGAGGCACTAGATACAAAAGCTTAAACACATATACCAACAGGTTCAAGAACAGCTTCTTCCCTGCTGTTATTAGACTTCTGAATGGACCTGTCAAATTTCAAATCTAATGTCGATCTTGCTTTTCTCTTTACAGCCTTGTATTCCTTGCTCTATTCTATCACCCTATAATCTTTTTATGGTATGATATACCTGTACTACAAGCAAAATAAAACTTTTCACTATACCTAGATACATGTGACAATAATAAATCAAATCAAATCAAATCGAGAAACCTTTCAAGAGTTGATAGATTTAATTAAGGAATATTATGACCTCAAGCCCCCTCTAATTCTGAGATGCTATCAGTTTTACTCGGCAATCCAAGAACCAGGGGAATCTGTTTTGGGATTTTTGACTAGGTTAAGACAACTGGCAGAGGCAGGTGACTTTGGTTTAACTCTTAATGAGATGCTGAGAGACCATTTGCATGTGGTATTAATGATGTAATCATGCAAAACTGTCTACTAGCTGAAGCCCAACTGGACTCCAAATAGATACTAACAACTGGCTTTATTGTTAGAAAATGCAGCAAATGGAGTATATGAGTTGCAGGGTATTCGGATGGAAGTGGACACCCTTGCCAGGCCAAATGACCTTGGGGAACACCACTTGAATGAAGGTAATTGCATAGCCTCACTTAGGATATATCCTGAATAGAGGGACTCTAGGTCAGCCCACAGCAAAACCCAAAAACAAAGCCAAGCCTCGGTCAAACGATTAAAACTTTCTTCAGGATCTGTGCTGGCAAGCCATTGCATTTGCAGCTGGTATGCCATCTTGAGTAAGCAAAAGAGTCCCACTAGACTTAAATTGAGTAAGCAAACTCATAGGCCAGTATTCAAGGGAATGCACGCCCTGGAAAGTCTACCAACAAGTGGTTTCGAATAGTTATATTGCTTCGCAATGTCCCAGAACTAATCAAAATAAATATTTGGTTAAATGGTCACCCAGTTCTAATGGAGGTCAACACCGACACAGTGTTTCAGTGATTACAGAGCCAGTCTTTAACAAAATTCACTCTGGACTCCAACCCTTAAGTTTGCGCAAGACTCCGGCTAGACTGAGAACCTATACTGGGGAACTTTTACAGATTAAGGGTACAACTTTAGTTCTAGCTTCTTATGGAAAACAGCTGGTTCAGTTAACTACTATTTAGTAAAAGGCTCGGCTCCAAGCTTGATGGGGCAAAATTATTTGGCTCAACATTTTTCGATTAGAAAATGGCTGCCTGAGTGAAATCCTTATTAGATACCCAGAAGTTTTTCAGGAAAGTCTAGGGACTACCAAAAGAGTCAAGGCCACTTTGCATGTTGACCAGGATACAATTCCACGATTCTGCAAGGCCCATCCAGTGCCATTTGCCTTGCAGGCGAAAGTAGAGGCAGAAATCAAAAGGTTGAAAGGTGAAGGAATCATCAAACCTGTCCAGTTTGCAGAATGGGCAGTACTTATTTGTCTGAATTGACTAGTTCATCTGTTTTGTCTTGAATGCTATGTGCATTCAAATACTATGGCTTAGATTCTAACCTTTTATTATTTTTGTAACCTCTGGTCTTATCTGCTGATTTGCTCTTACTGACTCCCTTTAAGCTATGGGTGTTTCCCTTAAGCTTAAAAAAGATTTTAAAAAGGATTAAAAAAGAGGAGAAACTTTTAAAAGGACATGAGGGACAATATTTTTACACAGAGAGTGGTTCGAGTGGGAAATGGACTACCAGAAGAAGTGGTGGGTTCAGGTACAGTTAGAACATTTAAAAGACATTTGGATAAGTTCACGAATAGGAAAGGTTTGCAGGGATATGGGCCAAATGCAGGTAAGTGGTTCTCGTTTAGTTTGGGAGCATGGTTGGTGTGGACTAGTTGAACCGAAGGGTCTGTTTCCATGCTGCATGATTCTATGACTTGTCCCTTCCAGTCATTGTCTGTTTATCATTTCCCATATTAATTTCTCTGTTGCATTTTCCCCACTCTTTGATTCACCACAACTTCCCAAATTTGAGCCCTTCTCCTATATCCGTCTTTCAGCCACACATTTATCTCTCTAACCTTGTTTACCCTATGCCAGTTTGCACATGGCTCAGGAAGTAATTCAGAGATTATTACTTTAAAGGTACTACTTCTTAATTTGGCACATAGCTCCTTATACTGACTATGCAGAACAACTTTCCTGTTCTAACTATGTCATTGGAGCCCACGTTGATCATAATAACTGGATTCTACTCACCCCATTGCAAGTTCTTCTGCAGTACAGAGCAGATATCTGCACTGGCAGACAATGTAGCTGGCTGGACTCACGAGGCCCCTGTCTGAGATATTTGTAACTTTGATAGCCATGGGTGAAGTGCTGGAAGACTGGAGGGTAGCTAATGTGGTGCCGTTATTTAAGAAAGGTGGTAAGGAAAACCCAGGGAATGACAAGGACTGATTAGGGCCGGTCAACATGGTTTGTGTGTGGGAAATCATGTCTCATTAACTTGACTGAGCTTTTTGAAGAAGTGACAAAGAAGATTGATGAAGGCAACATGATGGACATTGTCTATATGTACTTCAGCAAAGCAGTCAACAAGGTTTTGCATGGTAGATTGGTTAGCAAGGTTAGATCAAATAGAATTTAGGGGAAGCTAGCCATTGGATACAAATTGGCTTGAAGGTAGGAGACAGAGAATGGTGGTAGAGGGTTGTTTTTTGGCCTGGAGGCCTGTGACTGGTGGTATGCCTCAAAGATCGGTGTTGAATCTGCTGCTTTTTCACAGATATATAAATGATTTCAATGTGAATATAGGAGGTATGGTTAGTAAGTTTGTAGAGACACCAAAGTTGGTGGAGTAGTGGATAGTGAAGAAAGTTATCTCAGTGTACAACAGGACCTTGATCAGATAGGCTGAGCAGTGGCAGATAGAGTTTAATTTAAATAAATCTGAGGTGTTGCATTTTGGTAAGGCAAATCAGGGCAGGACTTATACACTTAATGCTAAGGTCCTTGGGAGTATTGCCAAACAAAGAGACCTTGGAGTGCAGATGCATCATTCCTTGATGGATGGAGTCACACTTTTCACTGTATCTTCAAGATATATGTGACAATAAATCATTCATTCATTCAGGTAGACAGGGTAGTGAAGAAGGCATTTGGAACACTTGATGAGTCAGTGTATTGAGTATAGGAGTTGGAATGTCATGTTGCAGCTGTACAGGATATTGGTTAGGCCTCTTTTGGAATACTGCGTTCAATTCTCGTCTCCCTACTACAGGAAAGATGTTATTAAACTTGAAAGGGTGCAGAAAAGATTTACAAGAATGTTGCCTAGGTGGGAGGATTTGAACTGTAGGGAGAGGCTGAATAGTCTGAGGCTATTTTCACTGGAGTGTCAGGGGAATGACCTTACAAAGGTTATAAAATCATGAGGGGCATGGATAGGATGAATAGCTAAGATCCTTTCCTAAGAGTAGGGGGAGTCCAAAACTGGAGGGCATAGGTTTAAGATGAGATGGTAAAGATTTAAAAGGGACCTAAGGGGCAACTTTTTTATGCAGAGGGTGGTATGTGTATGGAACGAGCTGCCAGAGGAAGTGGTCGGGCTGGTACAATTACAAATTTAATAGGCATCTGGATGGGTACATGAATAGGAAGGGTTTAGAGGGTTATGGGCCAAATGCTGGCAAATGGGAGTAGATTAATTTAGGATATCTGGTCAGCATGGATGAGTTAGACCAAAGGGTCTGTTTCCAAACTATACAACTCGATGATTCTATGATAATGCGCACGACTCTTGAAGCCACATCCATTCCTATTGCACAATGATGTCAAGGGCTGTTATTTTCATTTCACTCTCACATTCAGTTCTTTTGTCAATGTTGGACCAAGAACGTAATGAAATTAGGAGAAAGCAGTCCTTGCAGAATACAAACCCAGCATCAATGAGCAGATTATTGCAGTGTAAGTGCAACTTGATACCACTGTCAATGAATCCTTCCATCACTTTACTGATAATTGACAGAAGACTGATGGGGAAATAATTGACTGGATTGGATTTATTGTGTATTTTCTGTGGAAAGGACATAACATTGCAATTTCTGTATTGTTTGGTAGATGTCAGTGTTGTAGCTGTACAAAAACAACTTGGCTGGGGTGTGGCCAGTTCTAGAGCACAGGTATTCAGTATTAATGCTGGAATGTTGTCAATACCCATAGCATTTGCATTGCTAGAGCTTTTAGCCATTTCTTGATATCAGGAGAAATCAATCAAACTGGCTGTTATGTTGGGGATCTCAGGAATAGGCTAAAGTAGATCATTCACCAGCACCTTTTCTGATGAAGGGTCTAGGCCCAAAACGTCAGCCTTTCTGCTCCTATGATGCTGCTTGGCCTGCTGTGTTCATCCAGCCCTGCACCTTGTTGTCTCTCATTCACCAGCACGTCTGGCTGAAGATGATTGCAATTGTTTCAGCTTTGACTCTTGCACAAGTATGCCAGGTGCCTTCATTATTGAGGATGAGAATGCTTGTGGAGCCTTCTCCTTGTGCTAATTGTTTCATTTTCCCACATTCATTCACAGAATATGTAGTGAGATTTCAGAGCTTTAATCTAATCCTCTGGTTGTGGAATTACTTCGCTCAATAGATTGCAATTTGTTTCCATCATTTGGCAAGCAAGTAATCCTGTTCTATAGCTTCAGTAGGTTGATATTTCCTTTTTAAGTATGCTTAATGCTGTGCCCGGCACACTCTCCTACACTCTTCATTGAACCAGTGCTTAATCATAATGATAAAGTGAGGGATATTCTGGGGCATGAGGTTATAGATTATGGCTGGTTACATGTACTGAGTGTTTGCACCTAACATGATTTGTTTCAATTAGAGTACTTTAGTCTAGAAAGGAAGGAATTCTTCATCTTTGGTTGGATTGAATCTCAAAGGTGAAAGGACAAAAGGGTGAAAGAACTGGACCAATCTGCAATTAAACCTGAAGATCCAAGCTCTTTACTGTTTGTTCTCATTTCCCAACAAACAGATAGCTTCATATCTACAGAACCTGCCAAATCCAGGACCTCTACCACCCAGAAAGAGAAGTGCAGAATGGGTATTGGGAAGACCACCACCTGCAGGTTGCCCTGCATGTCACACTCCACCTTGACTTGGAACTGTATCGCCTTGCCTTGATTAACTATCATGGATCAAATACTGGAAGTTCTTCCCTAACAGCGCTGTATGTGTACCTACAGTACATGGACTGCAGCAGTTCAAGAAGGCAGTTCATTACCTTATTACCACCTTATGAAGGGCAACCAGGAATGGGCGATAAATGCTGGCCTTGCTGGGACATACCACATTCTAGGAACGAAGGTTAAAGAATAACACACAAGAGATCTAAAGCTCTAACCTTTAGCTCTGTTCTTCCCCCACAGCTCCTGAACAAACAAGGCTTTAGCAGAAAATATTTGCATGCAGACAATGTTCCTGTATTTATTGAGTAACTGGTATGCAAAGCTTAAGATGCTTGTGTACAGTCAGTGTTATATTCAAATAATATCCACAAGATTAGGTGACAGTTCTATCGAAAAATAAATGCACCCCACAGACTGAAGTCCAATGAAATGGAAATGATACCTCAGCTTCTAATCATTAATTTTTCACCAACTGAGGACATCTTAAAGTGCTTTATCACTGGTAAAATAGTTCTGAAAGTGTTGTCATTGTTTTAATGTGTGAAGTACAGTTGTTGTTGGCAAGATCCCACAAACAAGTTAAGTCACCATAGTCTAACCAAACCATAGAGAGAGAGAGATAATTGGTGATGGTTTAACCTGAAAGTCACCACACCTCAGTCAAGGGGAGATGTTAATAGAATCATAGAATCCCTATTGCGGAGATAGAGGCCATTCAGCACATCAAGTCTGCACCAACCCATTGAAGAGCATCCCATCCAGACCCCATCCTATCCCTATATTTACCATGACAAATCCACCCAACCTGCACACATCTTTGGACTGTGGGAGGAAACCAGAGCACCCAGAAGAAACCCACACAGACACAGGGAGAAACTCCATACAGGCAGTCACCCAAGGCTGGAATCAAACCTGCGTCCCTGGCACTGTGAGGCAGCAGTGCTAAGCACTGTGCCACCCCCAAGGGCATTCCTTTGTGGTAACCTCAGCCAGTGCAGGAATTGAACCCATGATGTTGCATCACTTTGCATTGCAAACTAGTCATCCAGCCAACTGAGCTAACTGTCCAGCTGTTTTACAATGGCCACGTTATCTGTTTTAGTGATATTGCTCAAGGGATAAATATTTGACTAGGACACTAGAAGAACTCCTGTAGCTCTTGTACAGTAACATAGGTTCCTTTACATCCCATATGAAAGGCAGACATGTCCTCTGTTTGACAGCTCAGCAAAAAAATAGCATCTCCAACTGTGAAGTACTCCCTAAATATAATCTGTATTTATAATACAGTGCTGTATGCTCAAATCTGCAACATGGATGTTTAATTGATAGCCTTCTAATTCAGAGCTAAGTGTTACCACTGAAAGATAGCTGACACCAATGGCAAAACAAAAATAAGTTGCAAAGAGTATAAGGGAAGTCTAACTAAACCAGTGATCTTGAAGAGGCTATGGATTGACCTTTGAAGAAATGATTGAAGGAGGAGAAAGTTTTTGTGATTCTGAGATCCTGAATAAAATTGAAGTAAAGAGCAGATAATGTGATGAATCTTGATTTCAACTCAGAGAAAAGGGATAATGTATCAGACAGAAGAACTTTGACCCAAAAGAAAACTTGGAAGAGAAGTTCAGAAGGGCGATGCCAGTAGCAAGATCAATGAGAATGATAAGTGACAGCAAGTGTGAAGTTAGAGGTGCAAGGCAGATCACTAACTGGACAACAAGCCTTGGGATAGTTTCATCCTGACTAATGCATCTCAAAGCCATTTTGATGAGTTAAGTGATGTAAATCAGATACCGTATCATAAGAATCTTCATGTGATTCTATTGATGTAATGTGAATAGATTGCAAATTCAACAGCATTTTGATTAATCAGTTATAAAGGTAACCCTACTCACCATGGGAGTTCATTGCTCCATGAAACCTTTTCCACTTTGCAGTCATCAAGCATGTCATCATTGAAAACATGTCCATTCTTCTGTTTAAGAAAACAAAATCTGTTTAATCTCAAAGGTTGGAGTAATTGGAGAAGTTACAAATTCAAACCACACTGCATTTGTCTCCTATCATTTTACAGCAAATGCATACTTCTCACTATTTCATGACTCGTTTATGGCCTAGAGTACAGAGAATGTTCCTCTCATTGCTCCTAAGCTCTAAATATATTATCTGGCTCGCTGTGTTCTTTAATTCTTCCTCACTAATGCATTCAATGTAATGAATGGTGTGTGCAGAGTGATTGTGTGTCTAATGAGAAAACCTGGCATTTGACAGTAAGAAAAAATAAACATATAGTTGTAATACCTGCAATTTGTCAAAGTTTTCCTTAGATAGATCATTTGGTTGAGGTCTGGGAATATCCTCCCACCAATTCTTCTTCACACTGTGGAGAACAGTAAAGACATTTATCAGGAAATATCTAGGTAGAAGCCATGACCTCAGACTTCCTTGCACAGAGCATGGTCTGTCTCAGCCAGTACCACAGGCAGAACCAAATGTCATGCTGATGTCCAACATGAAAGGGCATGGAGAATGAGGATGAACCAATGACATCTTGCTCTTTAGCACTTTGTAGTTCCCATTTCTGAAGTACCATTCATGGAAACCAATTTGCGTAACAGTGAACTGAAATCAAACAATTTACAAACTGAACCCTTTAACATTTCCACACATATAAAGCAATTTCCATAGGGGACAGTGAGCACAGGGATTGGGAGGCAAGACTGATTTGTTCATGCTTGCCGAGCATTCCACCCGGACCAATGGCAGTTTCCCTTGAGTTAGATCAGCTAACGGTGTGCATAGAATCTGCTAGACTCAGTGGACATTGTGAGGGACTAATCCACTAAATGTCCACCATGCAATGGCTGTAATGACAGTATAGAGGTTTACTCTGTACCTAACCTTTGACGTACCTGCTCTAGGAGTGTTTGATGGGGGCAGTGTAGAGCAAGATTTACTCTGAATGTAAGCCCATCATGTATTTGACCTGGCAGTGTTTCATGGGACAATATGGAGAGAATTTTATTCTGTATCTAAGCCGTTCTGTAGGTGCCCTGGGAGGGTTTGATGGGACAGTGTAGAGAGAATATTATTTTGTATATATAGTTTGAAAAAGGTGGACTTACAACTTGAAACCAAAGAAGCAGATAGCCACAGGTACAGGGACGATGATACACACGAAGACAATTAATGCAGTTGAAATGAAGTCAGAGGAACCTGAATGGTAAAGAAAATAACTAAAATGTACTCAAAAAATTTCACTCTGAAGGATCTGGTTCTGAAAAACGCTGAGAAAATGAAAACAGAACTGACTTGTACCCTGGCTTTCTCACACCACCTAACTCCACTGCTGTACAAAAGAGAGTCTTGTTCATTCTTACTTGCCATGCCAAGTAAGTAGCCAGGAAATGCATTACCTCAACTGTTTTCAAGGAATTGACAGCAGTTGTTGGAAATTGTTTAACAGTTTTCTCTGTGAATCACACCCTGCATTCCCAAACACGTTTAGGCAGGTCTGAAGATTTCTCAGATTACAGCCAAAAACTATTTCTTGATAGCGCCCTGGAACAGGAAGATGCTGCTGCGGATGTTGTCATTGTGTACCCACGCTGGACTGCAGTAGGATGTTTGTGTTGCTGAGATGTGCCAATACCTCACCATCCCTTTCACAACTATGTGTTCAACTTGTTCTGAAATGTCAAAACAGGCCCAGGAAATGCAGTATTCTTCATTAGCAGGTGGATCTGTGATCCTTTCAAAACCTCAGTGACTCCAGCTTAAAGGAAAATTTAGCAATTTGTCAGAAAATGGATAACTTGGCAAATTTAAACCTGTTGGGGGCTGAAGCCTGCACAAATATCTCAAACTGATATACTACCCCCAACAAGTCAGCAGTTGAAGTGCTAAGCTGTTTCCTGCACCATGAGACAGGGAGGGGAAAAATTAGACATGATACCTGGTCCTGAGTCTAAATCAGTGAATGGAACTTTTTGCAAAATACTATATCTCAAAAGATGAAGATTGGGTTTCTGTGTAGCCACAGAGGTGGAATATATGAGGGTGAATCTATATTCCTTTCAGCGGAGACAGAGGATGGGCACAATTGGACAGAAAATGAAATCTGTATTTCCTTTTACTTTTAGCACTTACCGTAATACCACACACACTCAGGGCTCCAGTCACTCCACACCCCATGATATTCTGGTAGTGGTTTGGAGCGAACCTTCATATGATAGCTGTATCCAGGATCCAACACCGATTGAAGGGCCAGCATTTTCTGGTTTGTTGTGTTAATTGTCTACATCAAACCCGAGAACAGCAGAAACTAAGTAAAACTCAAACCAGCGACAAGGTTCAAAATAAATTCTACTTTATTCTCAGCTTCAGCATGTCAATTCAATTACACTAACTACCTTTCTTCCCCTTTCATGTCCTAACTTTCCAAGGATATCAACCCATTGAAGTTCTTCACCTCCCTCAATCTCTCTTACCTTCTACAATCCAAATTATAACATTACAATCCAATTTATAACATCCAATTTGGAGCTCCAAACCACCACTCATAAATTTACCTTTGGACAGTGAATTTCCCAGTCATCACTCAAACTTAAACCCAGTTTCCATGTTAATTTCATCAAAATACATAAACACGTAACAGGAGTCCTGAGGAAATTCACTGCGCATCTTTCTTTTAAAGGTGATGCTATGATTCACTTATGATAATCTAATTCTGCTCCTATTTTGTATGGTCATACCCTACTGCTGGCCCAGAACAGAGAAAAAAAGTACACAGACATACTTTAGAGTTATAGAGATATACAGCATGGAAACAGACTCTTCGGTCCAATTCATCCATGCTGATCAGATATCCTAAATTAATTTGGTCCCATTTGCCAGCATTTGGCCTGAAACCCTCTAAACCCTTCCTATTCATATACCCATCCAGATGCCTTTTAAATGTTGTAATTGAACCAGCCTCCCGCACTTCCTCCGGTAGCTCATTTCCATACACACACCACCCTCTGCATGAAAAAGTTGCCCCTTGGATCCCTTTTAAATCTTTCCCCACTTGCCTTAAACCTATGCCCTCTAGTTTTGGACTTTCCAACCCTGGGTAAAAGACCTTGGCTATTTAACCTATCCATGCTGCTCATGATTTTACAAACCTCTATAAAGACACCCCCCAGCCTTCGATGCTCCAGGGAAAATAGCCTCAGTCTATTCAGCCTCTCCCTACAGCTCAAACTCTCCAACCTTGGCAACATCCTTGCAATCTTTTCTGAATGCTTTCAAGTTTAACAACATTCTTCCTATAGCAGGGAGACCAGAATTGCACGCAGTATTCCAATAGTAGCCCAACCAATGTCCTGTACAGCCACAACATGACCTCCCAACTCCTACACTCGATGCACTGACCAATAAAGGCAAGCATACCAAATGCCTTCTTCATTATCCTATCTACCTGCGACTCCCCATTCAAGAAACTATGAACCTGCACTCCAAGATCTCTTTGTTCAGCAACACTCCCAGGACCTTACCATTAAGTGTATAAGTCCTGTCCTGATTTGCCTTTCCAAAATGCAGCACCTCACATTTACCTAAATTAAACTCCATCTGTCACTCCTCAGCATATTGGCCCATCTGATCAAGATCCCGTTGTACTCTTAGGTAACCTTCTTCACTGTCCACTACACTTCCAATTTTGGTGTCACCTGCAAACTTACTAACCATACCTCCTATGTTCACATCCAGATCATTTACATAAATGACAAAAAGCAGTGGACCCAACACTGATCCTTGTGGCACACCATTGGTTACAGGCCTCCAGTCTGAAAAGCAACCCTCCACCAAAGGGTCTAGGCCCGAAACGTCAGCCTCTCTGCTCCTATGATGCTGCTTGGCCTGCTGTGTTCATCCAGCCCTGCACCTTGTTGCCTCCACCACCACCCTCTGTCTTCTACCTTCTACCATGAGGAACCTTGTCGAATGCCTCAATGAAGTCCATATAGGTCACATCCACCGCTCTGCCCTCATCAATCCCCTTTGTTATTTCTTCAAAAAAACTCAATCAAGTTTATGAGACACGATTTCCCACACACAAAGCCATATTGACCATCCCTATTCAGTCCTTGCCTTTCCAAATACCTGTAAATCCTGTCCCTCGGGATTCCATCCAACAACTTGCCTATCACTGATGTCAGGCTCACCAATCTATAATTCCATGGCTTTTCCTTACTACCTTTCTTGAATAGCAGCATCACGTTAGCCAACCTCCAGTCTTCCAGCCCCTCACCTGTGGCTATACAAGTATCTCAGTAAGGGGCTCAACAATCACTCCCGTAGTTTTCCACAAGAGTTCGAGGGTACATCTGATCAGGTCCCGGGGATTTACCCATCTTTATGCGTTTTAAAACATCCAGCACCACCTCCACTGTAATATGGACATTTTTCAAGATATCATTATTTATTTCCCCACGTTCTCTATTTTCCATATCCTTCTCCACTGTAAGTACTGATGCAAAATACTCATTTAGTATCTCTCCCATCTCCTACAGTTCCACACATAGGCGGCCTTGCTGATCTTTAAGGTGCCCTATTCTCTCCCTTGTTACCCTTTTGTCCTTAATGTATTTGTAGAATCCCTTTGGATTCTCCTTAACCCACTTTCCCTTTTTGCCTTCCTGATTTCCCTCTTAATTATATTCTTACTGCCTTTTTACCCTTCTAGCGAATCCCCCGATTTCTGCTATCTATACCTGACATATGCTTCCTTCTTATTCTTGACCAAAACCTCAGTTTCTCTAGTCATCCAGCATTCCCTACACCTACCAGCCTTGCCCTTCACCCTAACAGGAACATACTGTCTCTGAACTCTCATTATCTCATTTTTGATGGCTTCCCATTTTCCAGCCGTCCCTTTATCTGCGAACATTCATACCTAATAAATTTTTGAAAGCTCTTGCCTAATACCATCAAAATTGGCCTTTCTCCAATTTAGAACTTTAACTTTTAGATCTGGTGTGTCCTAATCTATCAATATTTTAAAGCTAATATAATTACGAACATTGGCCCCAAAGTGCTCCTCCACTGACACCTCAGTCACCTGCCCTGCCTTATTTCCCAAGAGTAGGTCAATTTAGATGACTTCTACTCTATGTATTCCAGAATAGGAACCTTCTGTTATGAAACAGTGAGACCTGTTCAGGAATCCTTACAGCCTGCAAGAGGAAGGATCACCATTGAACTCATGATCCCTTAGCAACAATAGCACTGTGCTCCTCAATTTAATTGCCCAGATGCATAGCCAGACTTTCTGACACCTACTATGAAAGTGTAAATATAAAAGATAAATGTGGGACTAGAGTGACGGGTGTTTGGGGAAAGTGGTGGTTGACCAGGTGGGTGAGTGGAAAGGGTGAGAAATGGGTCAGGAGGTTGGGGAAGGATGTCAAGTTGGGTTCAGGTTGCTGCTAAAATCACTATTTAGCCATCAGAATGTCTGGACCATTTTCTATCACAGCAGTGTAACTTGTAAATTGTTGCTATCATGCAATAAATGACATCTTATTTAAGAAAAGGGCCTCTTCTCATTAAATTACTAAGTGATTTATTTTTACCATGCTAGGTCAAGTAGGCAATATACCTGCTAATTCCTGCCTGGAAAGAAGATGGTGGCAGCAAATCTACCAGAAACCAGTCATGATGAACAGTGGTTAGGATTCATCTTACAACAGGGATTTAAAAAAAAAAATCATCATGGGATGTGGGCATCGTTAGTTGGGCCAGCATTTATTGACCATCCCTCATTGCCCTTGAGAAGGTGGTGGTGAGCTGTCTTTTAGAACTACTGCAATCCATTTGATGTAGGTAAACGCTCAATGCTATTAGGGATGGTGTTACAGGATTTAGACCCAGTGAAACCAAGGAATGACAATGTATTTCAAAGTCAGGATGGTGAGTGGCTTGGAGGGCAACTTGCAGATGCTTGTGTTCCCTTGTATTTGCTGCTCTTACCCCTCTGAACAGTAGCAATTGTGGGCTTGGGTCTAAGAACTCTTAGTGAATTGCAATTTGTAGATGTTACACATTGCTGCTATTGAGCATCATTGATGGGGGAAGTAAACATTTATGGCGGAGTGCCAATCAAGTTGGCTGCTTTGTCTTGGATTGTATCGAATTTCTTGAGTGCTGTTGGAGCTGCACATAATCATCACAAGTGGGGAATATTCCATCACATTCCTGACTTGTGCCTTGTAGCTTTGGAGAGGCAGGTGGTGAGTTACGCAGAGCAAAATTCTTAGCTTTTGTAGCCATAGTCTTTTCACGCTAATCCTGTTCAGTTTCTGGTCAATGGTAACCCCCAGGATGTTGATAATGTGGCATTCAATGTCAAGAGATGATGGTTTGATTGTTAGAAATGGTCATTACCTGGCATTTGTGTGGCATGAATGTTGCTTGCCATTTTTCAGTCCAAACCCGGATATTACCCATGCCTTGTTGCATTTGGACATGGGCTGCTTCAGTATCTGAGGAGTCATGAATGGTGCTGAACATGTGCAATCAGTGAATTTCTCCACTTCTGGCCTTATAATGGACAGAAGTTCATTGATGAAGCAGCTAAAGATAGCTAGGGCTAGGCTACTCCCCTGAGAAACCCTGCATAGATGTCCTGGAACTGAGATGACTGACCTCCAATAACCATAACCATCCTTGTTTGTGATAACAAGGTGTAGAGCTGGATGAACACAGCAGGCCAAGCAGCATCATAGGAGCAGGAAGGCTGACATTTGGAAGGTGTTGGTGAAGTGGATGAACTGTTCGAGCTCCTCGTGGGAGCACGAGGCAGCGCCGATACAGTCATCAATGTAACGGAGGAAGAGGCGGGGTTTAGGGCCAGTGTAGGTACGGAAGAGGGATTGTTCCACGTAACCTACAAAGAGGCAGGCATAGCTTGGGCCCATGCGGGTACCCATGGCCACCCCCTTTGTCTGTAGGAAGTGGGAGGAATTGAAAGAGAAGTTGTTGAGGGTGAGGATGAGTTCGGCTAAGCGGATGAGGGTGTCAGTGGAGGGGGATTGGTCGGGCCTGCGGGACAGGAAGAAGCGGAGGGCTTTTAGGCCATCTGTATGGGGAATGCAGGTGTATAGGGATTGGACGTCCATGGTAAAGATGAGGTGTTGGGGACCGGGGAATTGGAGGTTCTGGAGGAGGTGGAGGGCGTGGGTGGTGTCACGGACGTAGGTAGGGAGTTCCTGGACCAAGGGGGAGAAAATGGAGTCCAGATAGTTGGAGATA